CACCCTCAGAGCCCGGGTCCTGTCCCTTGGTCCCCAGGGACCCCGGCTCCCCAGCCGCCCGGCTCGCAGACGGCTCCAGCCCCGCCCCCGCGACCACCCGCCTCCGAATTCCCAGCCCGAGCCGGGCCCCCGCAGACCTCCCGGCCCGTCCTGCGCACCGGATCCGTATTTGATGTCGTGCGAGTGCAGCCGCACCCTGTGCTGCGTGTTGAATAGTTTCAGCACGGACCCGCAGGTCACCAGCCCGGTGCCGGTCTTGGCGGCGCCACCGCCCGGCACCAAGAGCGCCAGCACCAGCCCCAGCAGCGCGGGCCGGGCAGCCCCGCCGCAGCCCGCGCTCCACATCGCCCCCGACCCGCTCCAGCCGCTCGGGCCCGGGCCGCTTCCGTCCCGCGGCGAGCCAATCAGGCTCTGACAGCGCCGGCGCGTGGCAGCCAATCGTCAGCCCGCGCGCCGATCCGCCTGCACCGCCACTGGGTCGGCGTAGCGGGGACCCGCCCCTGGCTTTCGGAAGCGGCGGGTGGGCGGGGACTAGAGACGCGAGAGGGGTTCTGATTGACCCACGCTTTCCAGGACTCGCCAACGAGGGTCGAGGGAGGGCGGCCGGGGCGCCGAGCCTGGCGCGCTCAAAGCAGCACCTGCCGGTGAGCTCGGCCGCCGCTGCGCTGCTGGACGCCGGCCCAGGGGCCCCTGGGGAACCTGTTCACGAAGTTTCTTTTTTCTTTTTGAGACAGAGTCTCACTCTGTTGCCCGGCCTAGAGTGCCCTGGCGTCAGCCTCGCTCACAGCAACCTCAAACTCCTGGGCTCAAGCGATCCTCCTGCCTCAGCCTCCCGAGTAGCTGGGACTACAGGCATGCGCCACCATGTCCGGCTAATTTTTTCTATATATATTAGTTGGCCAATTACTTTCTTTCTATTTATAGTAGAGATGGGTTTCGCTTTTGCTCAGGCTGGTTTCGAACTACTGACCTTCAGTGACCCTCCCGCCTCAGCCTCCCAGAGTGCTAGGATTACAGGCATCAGCCACCGTGTCAGGCCTCACGAGGTTTCTTGATCCTGGATGGGCCCCTGGACCCTCAATTATGGGTCCTTTCCCCTGAACCCCAGGCCGCAGCTGCAGGGTCTTGAGGTTGCTGGATCACTGGATTTTGTGGTCACAAAGTTGACGGATCCCAAAGTTACTGAATCTCTTGTTCCTTCAGTCCCCAGACCCCAAGATTAATTAATCACCCAGTCATGTGTTCATAGCCCCCTCTCTGACATCTCAGTCCCAAGACCCTGGGTTTCTGAATTCCCTTGGCACTCAGACATTTTTTTTTTAAATTCGTTTTCTTTTTTTAAAAATAAACCATAAGGACATCTTATAAGCACTCACACATTTGACTCATGCCAAGGCTGAATTTCATGGTCACTGGGTCATCAGGCAGCAGGGGGCAACAAGGAGCTGTGGTGTCTGATTATCACAGGTTCTCACCAGAAAGCCCCAAAGCTGTCTTAGAAACCACAGAGCAAGGAGACCAAGGGACAGTGGGAACCAAGCCTGGGTGACTGTGTGTCCCAGGCCTCCTGGCCATGAGCAGTTTGACGAAGCCCAGAGTTTTGTCATCTCAGTCTTCAAGGGAGGAAAACTTACACCAATGTTTACTTACTAATTCATGGAACGTTCTTTTTTTTTTTTTTTTTTTGAGACAGAGTCTCACTTTGTTGCCTAGGCTAGAGTGAGTGCCGTGGCGTCAGCCTAGCTCACAGCAACCTCACACTCCTGGGCTCAAGCAATCCTCCTGCCTCAGCCTCCCGAGTATCTGGGGCTACAGGCATGCTCCACCATGCCCGGATAATTTTTTTTGTATATATATATATATATATATATATATATATATATATTGGTTGGCCAATTAATTTCTTTCTATTTATAGTAGAGAAAGGGTCTCGCTCTTGCTCAGGCTGGTTTTGAACTCCTGACCTTGAGCAATCCACCTGCCTTGGCCTCCCAGAGTGCTAGGATTACAGGTGTGAGCCACCACGCCGGACCCATGGAACATTTTTACAGTGACTTCACTCCAGGTCCCCGGCTGGGGGCATATTACAGAGGAACTAGCTCTGCGCTATATTATCCAAGAGGCTGACTAAGCATGTACTTGAAGCACTAGCAAAGCAGGGAGAAAAGTTTATATTTAATTAAATCATCCATAATTTTGCATTCAGAAAATCCAGAGTTAAGCCATCTTAATTAAAGCAACATGTTATTTTGGGTTTTCATGTTTATATTGTTTTTGTTTTGAATTACATATGGAATAAGGCACTTTGATCTTTTCAGCACTTAGGGTGTCTAAATGGTTAACGGTGTGCCGTGGATTTGGCAGTCCCCGACCTTGAGGGGCCTCTAGTCCAGGGTAGAGGGGCCAGAGTACAATCAGAGAGTACAATGGAGATGTCTCTTGGACATGTCCGAAGGCGTCTCAAACTTAACACGTCCAAAGCAGAATTCGTGGTCTTTACCCTCAAATTGCTCCTTCTCCACGCTTCCGAGTCACAGTAAATGGCACCTCCATTCACCAGTTGCTCAGGCCCAAAACTCGGGATTCTTCTTTGATTTTGCTTTACCTTGATTCTTACATCTAATTCAACAGGTTTTGATGGCTCTGAGTCCAAAATGGATTACGAGGCATCCCTCCTGAGTCCCTTGTCACCACCCTGACCCATGCCCCTCCATCTCCCATCCAGATATCTGCCACTGCCTCCTCCTGACGGGTCTCCTGCTTCCACTGGCTTCTCCAAGGCATTCTCCACACAGGGAAGTGGCAAAAGCACAAATTAGATCATGCCAGTCGCATGGCAAAAGCCCCAACAGTTTGCCAGTTGCAGTTAGGACCAGAAGATGGTGAGGACAAAGCAGGCAATCTCCCTGACAGGCAAGATTCTAAGTAGGCTGAGCTCCTGGAACCAGAGTGGGGGTAGTCAATGTGGCTCTCTCTTGACTCTCATGGGGCTTGGTAGCCTCTCATAATGGTTCCTGCCTCCCCCTGCAGACCACCTTCTCTGGCTCACCCTGTGGGCGGATTATGGCATCTCCAACCAGAATCTTCAGGTTTAGATTCTCAAGGGAGAGTATGGTCAGCTCAACTTGGGTGCAAGGACTGCTCAAGGTGCAAGAAGTAAGTGCTTTGAGGGACTTCTGAGTACCAGCCATAGGAACTCAGAAGGGTCCTCCTAGCCCCTAGGAGGCTAGTGGAGGCACCATGCAGTAATGGTGCACAGGCCAGCCCATTGCATGGTGAGAGGGCACAGGGAGAGGGACCCTGGAGGGCAAAAGGCCATCTGGAATATTCCAGCCACACCCAAGCTCCCAGCTGAAAGCAGTCACATGCCCAGTTGAGCCTGTCAACCCCGTGTCATGATAAATATTTTGTTTGAAGTCACTTAGGTATTGGAGTGGCTTGTACACAGCGATAGATGTCTGAAACAGCAAATAAGGACAGTGTTTCTAGCATAATACCAGTGGTCTCCAAAGGGGCTATTCCCACCCCACGGATGTGTTCCTCTGAGGCTGGGTGGGGATACGTTCCCATTTCTCTCGATGACTTGGCAGCAGGACCTGGGAAACAGGTGGGATCATGGCGGGTGCTATCTCCTCTTGACTCCATTCTGCCGACAGGATATCCTGCTTCTCTGGACAGGGGTGGACAATGCCGCCCCGCACCATCCACGTGGATCTCCAGCAATCAGTGCAAACCACCAGCATCTCTCAGTCCGTGCCGATTGCAGGCTCCTGGTAAAGAGCTGAGTGGCCTAGCTTGGAATAGGGATGTGCCAATGTGGCCAATCAACTGTGGCCAAGTGGTATGACAATAAGGTACAAAAATGGAGCTATTATGGCCTCACACTGTGGTGGTGGCAGTAGCAGGTGGCCTCAGGGAATGGGAATCAAGTTGGGTGTGTGCCCTAAAAGATCTTCGGCACAAGAGGTCTTTGGAGAAAGAGGTTCCTCGTGTGCCCACCTTAGGACTCTGGTCCCTCTGAGTGGCAGATGAGCAAATGCTCCTCCCCCTTGAATCGCAGGTGTGGCTCTGGCTCCAGAGACTACAGTTGCTGTGTCCTCACACGTGGGCCACTGGTCACAGCCACCTGTCAGTTACTTAGAGTCAAGCGTGCACGAGCAGGCCTGGCTTCTGGGCATCAGGCTAGCATCCAAGGATTGAGAGAGACCCCCAGGCTCTCCACAAGGCAGCCTGCAGCAGGAAGGCAAGGTTGGAGTGCCTTCGCATGCTTTCTTGTCCTCCACTGAGACCGGGCCACAGAGGCAGAGGGGGAGAGGCTGAGCTGCTCTCTCAGCAAAGGTGCCAGGGTGACAACAGACTGGCTGCCCTCGGAAGACAGAGGGAAGGGGGGCACTGTGCTATTGGCACAGGATGGCCACAAGCCCCTAGAGACCTGCCAATCACAGCACAAGCCGTGTCCACAGACCCTTCTAGAGAGAGCTGCCCTGCCCAGAGCTGCTGCTGGGAAGTCAGTCTCGGAGCCAGCTCGGGCAGCCAACCCACAGCCTAACCCACCAGCAGCCACCACATGGCCTGGCACGGAGACTCCAGATTCTCACAGCTGGAGCTGGGAACACAAATGAGGAAGACAGGGGGCGCACCAGGAGAGGGTGGGCGTGCAGCTCCTGCAGCAGGTGAAGATGTGGCATGTTGAAGCGAGAAGGGAGCCACCCCAGGCAGAGAAAGAGCTCCCCAGAAGCAAGAACAGGGGCCATGAATGAGGGGTGACGAGCAGTCCTCAGAGGCTCGAAGTTGCAGACTGGAGCTGCAGACTGCAGTTGGGAAGAGCCACACAGCAAAGTGGCGGCGCGTGGCAAGGGGGCTGGTCTCCCAAGAGGAGCAGCCACGAGGCAGAGCACTGGCAGCCACCAGGAAGGCTGGCTGCGGCCTGCTGGCCCCACTAAAGGTGCTACCCAAGGGCAAGTGTGCAGGTGCACAGAAAGGGAGGCTGAACTCTCAGGCCATGAAAACCGCGCTCTGTCAACACAGGCTTTATTTCTATTTCATACATTGGCTTCCCTGAGGGTCTCAGCAAAGCTGGCTGTGGGTGTTCACTCCCAAGCTCTGCTCAGGGCAGGGCTGCCGAGTGGGCAGTAACTCTGTGATGGAGCAGGAGGAGGAGTAGGGGATCAAGTGCTCAGTGTGGCTTGCAGGGACCTCACGGGGGGTCACTGTGGCCCACATCCACAGAGTGGCTGACCAAGGCCTCCGCACTAGGCTGAGGGAGGCTCTGGGACCCACTTTCAGCCTTGGAGGCTGACAGCTCCTCCTCGACCTCAACCCCGTCACTGCACTCGCTGTCTTCGGCGGTCGGTGTTTCCTTGGACTTGGGGGGACTAGAGCCCACACCAGTGCCAGAGGACACTGAGAGCTTGGGCTCCAACAGGCTCCTGAGTGTCGGGTCTGCGGCTGCCACTGGCTTCTGAGAGCTGAGCAGCTGGCTGGCTGGCAAGTCAGCATAGAGCATGTGGCAGGACTCCGTGGCCTGGAGCTGGTCCTGGTCGGTGTCGGGGGGCTGCGTGGAGGGGGGCTGTGTGGAGGGGGGCTGCGTGGAGGGGGGCCGCGTGGAGGAGGGCCACGTGGAGGGGGGCTGCATGGAGAGGAGCTTCGCGGAGAGGGGCTGCATGGACGGGGGCCGAGTGGAGAGGAGCTTCGCGGAGGGGGGCTGCGTGGACGGGGGCCGCGTGGAAGGGGGCTCGGGGCTGCGCCGGGAGGCCTGCCAGGCCCTCTCAGCTTTCTCCAGCTTGTGCCGCAGGCAGGCCCAGTCGATCTTTGAGGACAGGTGGATGTGAGAGCCCTTCACCTTCTTGAAGCCCAGGAGAAGGTCCATGAGCATCTCAGTGATGGGGAAGGAGATGAAACCCAGCTGCTTATTAAGGTTGTTCTCGAACTTGTACTTGCAGATGAGCAGGGAGACTGCCTGCTGGGTCAGGAAGTTGACCAGTTCCTCGTACCAGGGGTTGCTGAAGTGAGACACGTTGGACTTGGACGGGATGGAGGGCAGAGGCTCCTTCTTCAAGAACTTGCTGCCGGGGTTCTGTGTGACAGCCTGGGAGGGAAAAGGACACATGTCACACACCTAATTGGCTCTATACCTCCTCCCGCCCTGTGATGCCCCTCACACCCGTGGCACCTTCCTTGGTGGCCCTGCCAGCCCTGGGGTCACAAACACGGTTGCCAGCTTGTCACACTGGCACAGTCTTGCCACATATGCTATGCTGTCACACTCAACAGCCAACCCTCACACTCACCTCCTCACACCTGCTACACCTGTCAGGCTAGGGATAAGGTGGGGGACCTCAGTCACCTAACTTGAGCCTTGACCACCTGGGCTCCTGCCCAGGCCTGTGCTCAGAGGGACACATGCCTGGGCCTTGCTGGGGGAGGGAAAAGATGGGGACTGCCAGAGACCTGCCAGGGTGAGGCCACCTGCATCTTCTATGTATCCTCTCCGGTCAGCTTCCTAGGCAGGTAACGGGACTGGAGAGTCCTGCCCTAGGCGGCTGGACACAGGGAGCTGTGCCTAGGATGTGGGGCCCCATGCTGGGCTAAGGCTGCTGTCCATGATGGACAGGATCCTCCCCGTGTGGGAGAGCCTCTGAGATTCACATACAAATGTTAAAAAAAATACCCAGGATAAAAAATAGCCTTTATTCATCTTTGACAACACCTGGTAGTAGCCAGGATTCCTGGTCCCTCATTGGCTTGTCTCCTGACCAAGAGGTTTCCACAGTGCAGGGAAAGAGACCTGGGCCTTGGGCATTTGCTGGGGACAGTGGCTGCTAGGAGTGGTGAGTGAAGCACTTCCGTGAACTCATGCCAGTGACACCGAGCCCCACTCTCGAGGTTGTCACCTCTGGACACGATGAGTTGGGGGAGGAGGAGAAGCTTCTTACGAAGGAGGTGAACGGGGAGAGCTTGGGGAGGAGGTACGAGCATGGCGGGTGGCGGGTGGAGGCATGTGGAGGTGCCACTGGGCCCCTGAGGTGGCCCTGGCTGGAGGCCACCTCCACCACAACCCCAGGGGTGGGCAAGGTGAGGTGCAGGCCCCGCCAGGGCCGGGCCCTCTGGCTGGAGCTCAGGGACACAGGTGATGTCTTTAACTTGGGAGCTGGGTCAGGTGCCTCCTGCCTGGAATGAAAGGGGGCGCTGGGGACACTGGGCTTTTCTGTGGGTGTCACCTGGAGCCTTAATTTGGTGGCCATCTGGGCAATAGGCGTGGAGGGGGAGCCCTGTCTGCTGTCGATTTTTCTGCAAAACATCCCGGAGCTGGAGTCTGTCGTGGGGAGGGAGTCACAGGGCTCCTCCCTGTCGGGTGCGGTGAACTTGGAGCCTGGCAACAGCAGGTCGAAGTTAACCGGCAGCCCTGAAGTGGACTCCAAGTTGGCAGGGAAGAGAGGGCAGCCGTCACGGCGGCAGGCGCCACTGAGCTTGTCCACAGCCTGGCTGACCACGCCCTGCAGGGCAGGGAAGAGGTGGTGCTCGGCCAGGAAGTCCAGGGTGCGATGGGGCTCACGGAGTGAACAGTAGCCAGGCAGGTTGAAGGGTGCCGGCTGGCTCAGCAGCGACTGCATCTCCTTGTTGAAGTCCTGCTTGAGGAACAGCTCCCCAGGCCCCAGCTCTGCCGCTTCTGGTGTGCCTGAACTTGGGTCCAGCAGCCCTGAGAACCAGGACAGGGGCTGCTCCTGGGTCCACTGGCTGCTGGTCTGGCTGCCCAGTGAGTCCCACAGCAGGGAGTCCTTCTGGGAGCAGGACTGACTCAGGCCTTTCTGCAAAGAGAGGGCCACTCTGAGAAGTGTCCAGGAGCAGCCAAGCCAGGCCTGGCCCTGGCCCGGACAGGAGTCCATCCTACCCAGCCCCAGCCTTGGCTCCAAATCTCACCCCTTTGTTCTCCAGCCGCAGCAGCCGCTTGAGGTTCTTCTCTAGCAGGAGCTCCTCGCTCACAGGTGGCAGTGAACCTAAGCCGCGAGCTCCCAGGCCACTGTGCCAGCTGTGGGAGCCCAGCCGGCCAGCTGTGCGGCTGCTATGGGAGTCGGACATGGAACTCGAGCAGGATGGGTAGTTGTTGGGGCGTCCCACGCACAGGCTGGGCTGAGCACGGTGCCGGTGCACAGTTCTGAGGCTGGGCCGGGCACGTGCCCGCCGCCTGTCACTTGGCATCTCCACTGGGTCCTGTACCTCCACCAGCGGCACCCCAGCCTCTGTCTTCACAGCAGTCATACGCTCAGTCGCCTCCTCCACCACCGTCTGCAGGCTTTCCAGCACCTGGCCCTCGGTCAGGAAATCCAGGAAGCTGCCAAAGGGCTGAGGGCCTCTTCTGCTTTGGCGGTGGCACCGGAGCACTGACCTGCCATACATGGATGGTGGGTGTGGCTCACGGCCCAGCTTGGCGCTTGGCCCCATTTCCGGGAACAGTGGCTTCTTGGGTGGCTGCACCTGAGCAGACAGACAATCTCAGTGGACAGGGATGCCCTGCAGGTAGAGGTGCCCTGAGGTACCCTAGATGCCACTAGGAGCTGGATGTGGAGTGAACAGTAGAAGGAGTTGCATTTTGGAGTCAGGCATCCCTGGGTTTGCCACCTTCGGGCTGTGTGGCAGTGTGCACAATGGCCCTTCCTGAGGTCTAATTTCCCCGTCACAAGTGGGGATCTATTTAGGGTCACCCTGAAGCTTCCCTGACACCATGGATAGGGAGTCTGAAAGCCCATTTCTGCCCTCACACATGGCATGAGTTGGCAAGCATGAAAGCTCCTTGAGTCTCTCCAGTTCCTCATCTGTCCATGCAGCAGGGCCAGCCCTGTCTCCACTGCTGGGCTGGAGAGAGCACCTGAGGTCCGGAGCCCTGCGCTACCCATGGCTGCTTCTAGGACTTGAGCCATAGGCCTTTAGCCGGCTCCATGCTGCTACTCTGGGTTCCCAACTGCCCAAGCACCTGCAGGGTCGCTGGAAGTCAGGGGGACACAGGGAATGAAACTGAGAGTGCTCAGGGCCCAGCAGGGGGTCACAGGAAAGGCCAAGGCGATGAGGACTTCACTGAGAGGCCCAGTGAAGAGGTCACTGGGAAATGAAAAGGGAGGCTGTGGTCTGGGGCGCCAGGATTGGTGGGGAACTCGTTGGGGGTTCCAGGGTCAGAGCCCTGCTGAGCACACTTACCCGTGCCACATACGTGGAGTGGCCGGCCTCGTCGTCGGCCAAGTAACCCGAGTGGTGGCGGCAGCCGGCCATCGTGCCGGGGTCCCGGCCCGCGGCCCACCTCCTCTCTCTTCAATTCCACTGCACAGCCGCAGACTCCTCTCTGCACAGGGTGGGGAGACGGGGTGAGGGTCTGTCCAGGCCTCCATGGGTCCATGTGTGTCAGTGCCCCCGGGGCCCACGGGTCCCTGGCGCCCCTCCCCCGGCGTCCTTTATGCACCCCGCCCTTGCTCTGCGGGGAGCCCCCCAGGCAATTGCAGACCACGGGATTCCAGAGACGGCGGGGTGGGGTCGCTGGGGACGCCTGCATGCCTTCTCCCACAGTGTCTGGGTCTGGGCGTGTCCAACTCTCCCTCCTCCCACACCCAGGGCGCCCCGGCCTCCGCCCTGCTCACCAGCGCCCGCCCGCGCCGTGTGCGCCCGCGCGAGGGCGGCGGCACAGTGGGCTGGAACCGCGGGCGAGCGACGAGCTTGCTCATTTGCATACTGTGTCGTCATTGGTTCGCTCCAGACCGCTCGCCCACTCGCTTCTCCGACACAATGGCTCGGGGCGGGGCCCGCGTTGGCTCCTCCCCCACCCCGGTGGGCTCCGCCCCCGGCACCCACATTGGCCGGGCTCCGGGGCTGGGGACGCGGCCCGCCAGGCTCCGCCCCGCCAGGAGCAGCCGCAGGCGGCGGCCGGGGTGTGTGCCCCGCACCTGCCCTGGGGAGCAGGAGCCTGAAAGCCAAAGGCACGGCCTCTACCAGAGATACAAGCACCTTCCTCGGTACCCACGGTCCGTCTTGAAACCTCTTGCCGCTGGCGCCTCCCAAGTCACAGACCTAGCTTCAGTTCCTAGCTCTGCTATTTCCTGCCGGTGTCACTCAACCCCTCCGAGCTTGTCTCCTCATCTGCAAATGGGTTTGAGTGTCCTTCCACGTGGGCGTATGGGGATTAAAATTTTCATACAACACAGTTGGTACCCCAATAGGTACCTCCTCTCCCCACTTTCCCCTCCGCCCAAAAAACCTCATCATGCAACACAACGTCCTACCACGTGATCACCTCCTTGGAGAAGCCTTCCCAGAAACCCTCCCACCCTCAAGAGAATCCGTAGTAGACTCCATCCCAGACTCTGCCACACCATGTTGTTGCTTAGTTGTCTAGCAGATGTCGCTTCTTCGGGGCAGGCACTGAGGCAGTCGCCCTTAATCGCTAGTATTGCCAATGGCTGGCATCCAGTAGGTGCTCAATAAATGTCAGTTTCCTCCTTCCAATCTGCAGACCCTCGAGGCCTCTAGCCTTTCCAAGATCAGCTTCCCAGTGGAGAATGGTTGAGGTCTGGCAATTCAACAATCACAGTGATTGAACATGACAGTCCTGCCAAGAGCATGGCTGAAGGGCTCTATGAAGCCTCCAATCCTTACAATGCCCCATAAGGTACTTGTTATTCCCAAGCTCTGCTCTGCCCTCTCTGCCCCTAAACTAGGGGGCAGCCAAAGTCCAGAAAACCACAGCAGGCCTGGGTGCAGGCCTGGAGCTGAAGGTTCAGTCCCAGCTCTGCTACTCCTGAGAGCCACACTTCCTCTCTCTGAGCTCCAGTTTCCTTATCTGCAAAACAGACATGACATTGCCAATCTCATAGGCTGGACAAAAACACCACACTTTCCATAGCCACATGAAATCAAGACAGCCAGAATGAAAATTCTGGCTGTCAACATGTTGACTATATGTATACTCATGGGTAAGGAACGCTTTTGTGGACCAAAGAGAAAAAAGTGAAGCTATGAATGTAAAAGTTGTAGCCTGGCACACAGCTCGAAATGGAAAAGGGACTAATGCTTTCTCAAATGAAGCCATTGGTGTATATGTTTTCTTTCATTTTTTCTTATTGTCTAGAGCTCAAGGGGGAAAAAATTAACAAATCAAGAAAAGGCTGCCCCTTAAAAAAATCAGCAAAATGCCAAAAAGCAATTTGGAAAAGAATAAAAATAACTAATGATATGAAACAGTTCATAGGCACTGCTATAAAAAAAAAAGAAACTACAAAGAGTAAGATAATATTGATGTGATCATCTTTATCTTCCCAAGACAACACAAAACACATCTGGGTTGGGGAAAAGAGGAATTGGGTATGTTTATTTGCTTAGAGAAAACACTGGAAGGACACAACCCAGAAAGTTAACAGTGGTGATCTACGGGAGAGGGTATGAGAGATTGTTTTCTCTCCTTTTTTTGGTGGTTTTCATACTAAAATACCACTCTTGCAAAGGAAAGCTCCGCGTTGATGCAAGCGGTGTAGAAGCACGTGTCGCCGCTGGGTGGCGCGGACAAAGGCGCGGCGCGGCGCAGCCGCAGCGGGGCGCGTGCGTCGGGGCGGGACCTCGGGCAGCGCCCGGGCGGGTCGCGGCTGCCATGGCTCGGCCTCGCGTGCGCCTGGTGGTCACCGCCGACGACTTTGGCTACTGCCCGCGGCGCGATGAGGGCATCGTGGAGGCCTTCCTGGCCGGGGCGGTGACCAGCGTGTCCCTGCTGGTCAACGGCGCGGCCGCGGAGAGCGCGGCGGAGCTGGCCCGCAGGTGAGGGGCGGCCCTGCGGGGTCCGGGCGGGCTGGGGGCGCCCCCGCCCGCGGCCGCCCGTGCTCCCGTCCGCTCCGCCCGCAGGCACGGCATCCCCACGGGCCTCCACGCCAATCTGTCCGAGGGCCGCCCAGTGGGCCCTGCCCGCCACGGCGCCTCGACGCTGCTCAGCCCCGAAGGCTTCTTCCTCGGCAAGATGGGATTCCGGGAGGCGGTGGCGGCCGGCGACGTGGCTCTGCCCCAGGTGCGGAGGCGCCGCTGCAGCAGGATGCGCGCTGTGACCCCAGAATTCTGCCCGGCGGGTGCCGTGGAGGTTTAGGGCAGGAGCTGGCGCTGAGTGGTCTCCTCATTCACAGCCTGGAGCACGCGCAGGCTCGAGGAGGGGTCTTCCTCGGGAGCTGCTCCGGGACCCTCAAGGTGCCAATCGTCCTCTCCCCCCAGGTTCGGGAGGAGCTAGAGGCCCAACTAAACTGCTTCCGGGAGTTGCTGGGCAGGGCCCCCACACACGTGGACGGGCACCAGCACGTGCATGTGCTCCCAGGTGCGCGGACGGGGGCTCCCAGGCCGGGTGGGTGGAGGCTGGGGGAGGCTGATGCTCCCAGGGGAGGGGACATGCTCCTCCCTGAGCCCGCTCGCCCGCAGGCGTGTGCCAGGTGTTCGCCGAGGCGCTGCAGGCCTACGGGGTGCGCTTCACACGGCTGCCGCTGGAGCGCGGCGTGGGCGGCTGCGCGTGGCTGGAGGCCCCAGCGCGCGCCTTCGCCTGCGCCGTGGAGCGCGACGCCCGGGCCGCCGTGGGCTCTTTCTCCCGCCACGGCCTGCGGTGAGGCCCCTCGCCCCACCCCGCCTCCACCCCCTGTCCCGCACAGGTCCCAAGGCGTCTGTCTGGGCATCCTCCTGGCCATTTGTTCCCGCTTCTCAACCAGGAAGCGCCCCACCCCCAACCTAGCCCCGCCCGCTGCCCAACCCCCGCCACTGATGCCCGGAACCCACAGGTGGACAGACGCCTTCGTGGGGATGAGCACTTGCGGCCGGCACATGTCTGCTCATCGCGTGTCGGGGGCGCTGGCGCGGGTCCTGGAAGGTATCCCGGCGGGCCATGCCCTGACAGCCGAGCTGATGGCACACCCTGGATACCCCAGTGTGCCTCCTGCTGGGGGTTGTGGTGAAGGCCCTGACGCATTCTCCTGCTCTTGGGAGCGACTACATGAGCTGCGTGTTCTCACCGCGCCCACGCTGCGGACCCGGCTTGCCCAGGAAGGCGTGCAACTCTGCGCCCTCGATGACCTGGACTACAAGAGACCTGGGGAGGGAGTCCCCTGTGAGGCCACTCTGGAACCCTTCCTGGAGCCCTCCCCATCCTGACCCTACAGACAGCCAAGCACTAATGCCTTTTGGTGCTGAGGAAGGGGCCAGGATTAAGCACGGGCACAGCCCTGAACTAGGCTCTTGAGCACGGTCTGTAACTACCCTGGGTGGGACACTGCCACTTTTGTGCCCAGGTTCTCAGGGCTCAGAATGGCATCCACAGCTTGGGCAGCCCTTCTTGACTAGAGGGGGGCCAGCCTGTGACATCAGGGCCCAGGACCTGCAGAGCATTTGGTGCCCTTTCATGTTGCAGTGTAAACACTTTCATTGTTTAAGGGGGAGTGGGGAAGAGATTGCTACAATAATAAAAAATAAATTTTCTTTCACACTTGGGTGGTTTATAGTGTGCCCAGAGAACCTTCACAGAAACAAGAATGGACACAGAACAACTCCCTCTTGGCTCAAACCAACTCAATATTCCAGAAAAGATAGCAAAACATTCCCCACATTCAAGTTTTGTTCATGCTTAGGTTTTCTTTATTCTTTTTTTTTTTTAGAGAGACAGGGTCTCACTGTGTCACCCAGTCTAGAGTACACTGGCTCAATCATAGCTCAGCGTAATCTCAAACTCCTGGCCTCAAGCAATCCTCCCATCTCAGCCTCCTAAAGTGCTGCGATTCCAGGAGGGAGCCACCACACCTGCCCCTTTATTTTGTGGGGGTAGGGTAGAGGTTGGAAAAGATTGTCTAACCAGGCTGCTTTTTGAGAGGCACATTATAGTCTCAATTTTGATTTAAAAGGAGGTCAGTCACCTGTTGTAATTGAGCCAGCCATTCTAGAGGCTAGGCCTGAGGAGGTCCTGCAAGCTCATGGGGGTGCATGTAAACTTTTCCAGGAGGGGCAGTGTTCTGTGGAAATCCTAATTGGGCCCAGTGATGGATGGGTGCCCCGTGGACTGGCCCTGTGTGGTGTGGATAAAGGCTCCTGAGCTGCAGGGAGCATATGGGGAAGGCAGTGGGGAGTTCTCAGGAGCACAGAGTCCTGCTTCACTCTGGAGGATGGAAAGGCAGATGGAACACCATGTGGTCCTTCTTGTCACATTTAATTTCATGTAAGTGACTATGAAGCAGGCACCAATTTGTGTGTCCCCATTTTACAGACAGAGGTGGGAGTGGCAGACAAGGCTTTGAACCTACTCACTCATTTGACGTGCAAGAGGCCCTGGCCTGTACCAATCATGGAGTCAGGTGCCAAGAGAGCTCTCACCTGGCCTACGAAGGCCAGAGGGACATGCAGCTTTCTGAAGGGGTAAGCATGGGATCTCACTCCTCCTCCCTGCCTCACCCACCCATGCCCCATCTGTGGCTTCAGCCCCCTCTTTTCTGGCTCCATGCTCATCTTCCAACTTAACCTTACCTTGACCTTGATTCTTCCATCCAGAGAACTTTTCCTGCTTCCTTTCACTTGTGCCTCCCTCTTGCTGCCTTACCTTCTTACTTCAGCTCACTGAGGTCTAGCCACTCCTGCAAGCTGCTGACTGGGGCTGGTAGGAGGGCAGCCTCTTCAGGAGGGTTCTGCTGTGGAAGTGTTCTGAGAAGAGGAGGCAGCTGGTTGTGCAGCTCTGAGGCTCAGGAGACAGGTGTGGGTGGGCAGGAGAGACTTGGGGGTCTGCACAGATGCTAGGTGGGATGGCTACCCAGGGAAGAGAGGTGGGATGAGCAGAGATGAGGACTGAGATGGGCCCGAGGAGCATTTGAGAGCGGAGAGAAGTGAGGGGGCATGGCCAGAGGTAGGATAATCGGGTGACAGAGGCCCACCTCACAGGAAGGGAAAGTGATAAGGACCTGTCCTGGGAGCGGTCACAGGTGGCCCACAGGGGCAGGACATGGCAGGGGTATTTCTTATGCCAAACCCACTGCACACTGGGTGGCTTAGGCAAGTGGTTTACTGTTATCCACCCACTCAGCACTCATGTATGGAGGGTCTGCTCTGCCAGGCCAGGGCTGGTGCTGGGACATAGCCTGGCCTGCAAGGAGCTCCCAGTCTGGTACAGACACAGGGACAGTCAGTGCGATCAAGCCATAGGGCCTGGGGGCAAGAAACCCACAGAATGTGTGGGGCCAAAGGAGAGTTTCTAACCTGGCCAGCAGTTTGGGGAATGCTCTCCAGAAGTGACTTCCTTCCCTGGGCCTCAGTTACAGGCTCCGCACTGTGCTGGGCAGTCCTTTCTATGCTGATCCTCTGAGGGAGGCCTCCAGCCTTCCCCAGAAGCCTCGTCTTGGAGCAAGGACACGTTCCTGTTACCTGGGAAGCGGCCATTTGTCAGGCACTGTGCTGTGCTGGGAGTGGGCCTGGCCTCCGCTCCATTCCATCTAAGGCTGGTGCCCTGCCTCCGGGCCACAAGGGAAGCAGGGAGGGAGAGCCAGTGCAGCCCAGGACAGCAAGAACAGGCCAGCTCTGGCTTCTCCTGGGACTGGGCTGGATGGTACGCACTGCTGAATGGAAGGAAGTAGAAGCAGAGCTGAGAGGTTGCCCACCTATGGATGTGGCAGTGAGGAAGTCCTGGGGCCCTTGGCCAGAGGAGCCGCAGGCAGCAGGAGAGGACAGAAGCCAGGCTGCCAGGCTGCAGTAGGCACATGAGTGTTGAAGTTGATGTTTATTTGAAGCTGAACAATTAATAGTGGAGTGAGGACGGCCAGGAAATGGTGGCTTCAGAGGACAGGAAGTTGAGAGAGGGTCGTACAGGCCTCTAGCTCTGGGGAGCGCCAACTGAAAGGGACCCTGTGGAAGACTGTGCCGAGTGGTAAAGCAACAGGCTCTAGAGTCAGACTGTGTAAAAACACAGGCCAGGTGCCCATGGCCATCACTCAGAGCCTGCGCGGGCTCCTGTGTAAAGGCACGGATGAAGGTGCCCACAAGCTGTCCTGAGACGCACACAGAAGCGCTAGACACATGAAAGAGCACCTACCGTTCTCCCAGCTTCCTAGTGAAACGACACCCCAGGAAGCTTCCTCTTATGAGCTGCAGGCCCAGCTGACAGCGCAGGCCTGGCCTCAGCTGGTGTCAAATCCCAGCTATGCCCAACCACAAAAAGATGTCCAGGGCTTAGCTGGGCCCTGTGCTGAGTCAGCTTGTCACAGCGCCTGCATGTGGCAGTGGCTGTCAGGAACTGAGGCAGGTTTCTGGCTGGCACCTTTCAGGGAAAGGCCCTAGTTCCCCCCTCAGGCACTCCCTCATTAACTTTGTGACTTCTCAAGGCTCCAGTTTTCACCTCTGCTAAACACACAGCATAACATCACTGTGTTGGGGCTACAGGATGAAGAAAGTGACATGCCCATGCATGGAAGTCACTGTCCCCTCGAGAGATACCCACGAGTGTTTCCACAGGCCCCAATCGACTGGACTCTTGGCTTCTCCTGTGTTGATTATACCTTATCCCTTCCCTCTGGGGAGTCAGGAACACCTCTGTGCACCCCTTTTGGAAAGGATGGGAATGGAGAGATCAGAGGCCCCGGCCACCCCCCAACTCTCCAAGAGCACAGGCCCCTGGCACTGCCCACCCCCAGTAAGGAAGAAACCCACACAACCAAACCAGTGTCTGAGAGCATTTTTATTAAGGGCAGCAGAACGGACCGCAGCATCTTAGAAAGCCTATTCTCCGCCGTGGGGTGGGGAGCAGGGCAGAGGGGAGGACCCCACACTTCAAGGAACCTGGGGGGTGTGAATTCCTGAGTGAGCTGGGGCCGGCGCTGGGTGGCTGCTCCACAGCTCTCCCTCCAGAGGACCCAGCTTTTTGGTTTGGGGGCACGAGGGCTGCCCACCAGACTGCTCGAAGCCTGCCCCGAGGGCACAGCTGGAAGGAGCAAGCTGCCCAGGCCCGAGAGAGGGACACCCACTGACTCGAGAGCCAGCCTCTGCTGCCAGGGCAAACTGTGGGGTGCCAGGGCTGAGAGTCCCTGAGGGGCTGCTGGCACATAGGTATCCTCCCGTGGTGAGCAGAGTGCAGTGACAGGGTGACAGGCAGGCAGAGCTACGTTGGCAGAAATACGAAGCAATGGGACAGTTTCCAAGAATGGCCACATTTCTGGATTCAGAGAAGCAACGAGAACAAATGGTAGCTTGTTTGGATAGTTTCTGACAGAATTTGGCATTTTATTACAAATCTGAGTATGAGTGAAATAAGATTCACCACCACCTTACTGTTAATGAAGAGAGCTGTGGAAGCGCTAGCCAGGCACATCCTGCCATCCTGGGCACGGGAGTCTCCAGAAACCTGCCCCTAGCGTGCCTAGAACTAGAGAAGCTGAGTTCGTTATCACACTACAAGGCCACGAGCCTGGACAACCAAACAGTGTCACACTGCCTAACCTGCCCATCACTTCCCACTTCTGCACAGGTGAGACCAAGCTGTCTTATACGTCTGTAGGCCCCTGAAAGATCTCAAGTTGTAGAACTAAAATTAAAACAGAAAGCAAAGTTTAAGTCATCTTCTCCACAGGATCTAGTCCCCCAAGAGCCAAGAAGGAAAGCTACCAGTGAAAGACATGGAGTTGGTGACACTGGCTTCCTCTGGATGTCAGAGTGACATGTATTCTCTACTCATTCAGGGACAGTCCCATTTGCCTTGAAAAGACATTAACATTCAAATCCTTACAAGTTCATCTGATGATAAATTCTAAGGTCGATTTTTATTTCTACAAAAAAGGCAGTCAAAACAATATAAAACACATTTAAAGGATATTACTGAGTGCGCTTCAAGTGGAGCTTGACTCTGCAAAGGCTGTGAGTCCCAAGGGAGAGGGAAGGCCATCTTGTTCCTGGCTGGGCCGCCGGCTGCTCCAAAGGGGCCAGTGGGGGTCCCAGTGACCCCAGACTGGTGCCAGTTCAATAGCCGAGTCCCGCCATTGCCGCGAAGGATCAAACTGTACCTCGGGAGGGCTGTGGTGGGGCTGCTGCACTGAGGAGGTGGAGCACGAGCTCCATGGCACATTCAGATGGAGCTTGGTGACAGATGAGCTTGGAATTTCAAATGGATGTTCTGGCTTTAGCATGGCGTGCAGGGACCAGCAGATCTTCTAAAATGGCTGCAGGGAGGGGTGCCACCCTTTGGCCTCAGGAGCCTTTCTGGTGCGAGATTTCACCACACACAGCATGCACAGCGTCCTCTGGCTGGCAGGCCCTCCCTTCGGGGTCACCACAGACTTGTTATTGAAGGGTTTCCCTGCGCAGGCTGGCTGAGTCGCAGTTCAGTCACGCACACTGATGTCGGGGTTTGCCCATTTAATCGATGTTACCGTGGTTAATACAAGCCTGACTTTTCCACAAGAGCTAAGCCTCCCTTTAAATGGCTTTTTTTTTTTTTGGTGGGGGTGGTCAGGAGGGGTGTAG